GTTCATAGGAGTGAAGTGACGGGTAAACGACATTTTTTAACCAAATTTACGGGTACAGAAAACAACATCAACATTCGAACTCTAAGTGTCTGCTGTGGCACTCAAAAATCAATTGATTCCTTGATAACAATAGGCACTAAACTTCTCCTTTTAGCAGTGATTGAGAAATTTGTCGATTTTCTGTCGATTTGGAATTCGAGAACTAGGGAAATTTAATTAGCTCAAATGTTATCTTCTTTTAAACCCTTCATTCTTGGGTTGTCGTCGGCCTAATGCTGTGAGTTTAAAGACATGAAAGGCAATGATGCAACAATGAATTTCCATGTGGACTTTTTTGTATTATCTTTGAACAAACGTTTACGAATTTCTAGTAAACTTTGTTTCCCAGTTACATCACGTTTTAGAAAGGAGGAAAAACAGAGGGGAAAAAGAAAAGTATAAAAGACTTAAAGTAATATTGATACATTAAAAAAAAAAAAGTTTTCCTTCGCTGGTGGGTAAATATTAGTGAAACAATGGGTTGACTATCCAACGTAGGGTTTGCGAAAGGCAATTAACATCAACTAATTTGCATATGGACTTTTTAACTATCCATAAATTAAACAAACTTTGACGAATTTGTAGAAAAAGTCATTTCTTACATGTTTTGTTTCTAGAAAGGAGAAAGGTTTTGCAGCGGAAAAGGAATTTAAATACATTAAGAATAATTATAATAAAAAAACCAGTTCTGCTTCGCTGGTGGGTAAATATTTGTGAAACGATAAGTTGACTATCAGCGTGGGGTTTGCGGAGAGTAGTTTGCTCAGTGGCCGATTTCTTATAGCTCAAGCTTATGTTCCGCCGGAGATTTCATTTCGCATCAAAATTTTTAAGATTTGCAGGCCATTCTTCTGAGAAAAGTGACATGAAAAATCTATTTCTAACCAAATTTACCCAAACGGCAAACAACATCAAAAACTGTTATAAATGTCTTCCTTTTAGTCGTTTGTGCAAATATTTTAAATTGTCATGCATAGAGGATATCGCAGCTTTTAACCACAATTGGGAGTAATATCGCAATTTGATCGGCCAATTTACCTTTGTCGATAAGAGTACAGACAAAGCTGCTCGCTTCAACGCGTCACCAACGAAAGAATCGTTTCTTCCAACGCCGATATTCTGATAACTCTGCTACTTCTCTTGAGTTCAGAACATTTTGACCACTGTGATGACAAATATAATTGTCGATAAGAGTACAAACCACGCTAAACCACGACCGATTTGTTAAATTTCATAAAAGTCGTTTTGTTCCCAAAGTAAAAGAAACAAATATCACCTTCATTTTTATCCATTCAGTCGAGATTCTTTTTCAAAGAAACCTTTGCCGCATGTCAGTTATCGGTTTCTTTTCTGACTTGCCGACTTTTTAAAAAATTCATTGTCTGTCAAAAGTCAAGGGGAAAGTTATTTAATTCAAGTGGCACTCAAAAGTCAAGTGATTGCTTGATAGCAATTGCCATTGAATTTCACCTTTTAGCAGTGTTTAGGATTGAGACGTTGACCTGCTCTCTGCTAATGGGGATGCTAGCATTTACGCATATGTATCGTTGTGACAAAGCTGAAAGTAACTTGTAAAAGAAAAGGATTATGGCATTGAAGTTTCTTCTCGTCAAAACTGCGCATAAAACGGAAACACAATAATCACTGAAAAGCTTCCAATCGAGGATCCTTCCACCACCCAGTGGTGGTTTGGCGCCCATCTGTGGTCAGCAATGGCACCAACGGGTCTTCAAAACGACAGAAAACGAGGCTCTCAGCATAAAAGTATTCATTCTGTAAGCTAGATTAAGGAAATAACTTTGTAATCTTTTGAAGACTCCAATAAAGACTGAGGTCTTGAAGAACTGAGCAGTGAGTGTATCCTCGATTGGAAACTTTTGATGATTATTGCATTTCTTTTATACGCTCTTTTGACGAGAAGAAACTTCAGTGCCATAATACATTTTTTGTACAAGTTACTTTCAGCTTCGTCATAACAATGGACATGCGTAAATACCATCATTCTCATTGGCTGAGAGCAGGTCAAGATTCCAATCCTAAACACTGCGAAAAGATAAAATTTGATGGCTATTGTTATCAAGCAATCACTTGATTTTTGAGCGCCATTCGCATTAAGTGACGTTCCCCTTGACTTTTTAAAGACGACAAAAACTTTTTTCAAATAAATCTAAATGTCAGAGAAGAAATCGATAACTGGTACGCAACAAAGGTCTCATTGCACGCTAACCTGTCGGACTGAATGGTGAAAATGAATATAATATTTATTTCCTTTCATTGGGAACAAAACGACTTTTATGAAATGTAAGAAATCGACAGTGGTTAAGCGTGGTCTGCACTCTTATCACCAACAATATCCGTCGTCACAGTGGTCAAAATGTTGTCGAATCACGAGGCACAGCCGAGTTACCACAATATCGACGTCACATAAAACGATTCTTTCTGTGAGTGACACGTTGCGTGACGCCTTGACGCGAGCAGCTTTGACAAAGAAAAATTGGCCAATCCGAATGCGACATTATTGCCAGTTCTGATGAAAAGCTGTGATATCCTTCGCCGCAAACCCTACGTTGGATAGTCAACCTATTGTCTGTCACAATTATTTACCCACCAGCGAAGCAGAACTGTTGTTGTTTTTTTATGTATTAATATTACTTTAAGTCCTTATCCTTTCTTTTTTCCCCGCAAAAACCTCCTCTATTCTAAAACGAAATATACGAGAAACAAAGTTGTCTAGAAGTTCGATCGTAAACGTTTGTTCATGGATAGTAAAAAGTCCATATGCAAACTCATTGCTGTATAGTTGTCTTTCATGTCTCTAACTTCACAATTTGATTAAACCGACGACAACCCAAGAATGAATTCGAAATGGTTAACAAAAGATAAAAAGATAATATTCGAGCTGATTTAAAATGTCGTTTGTTTTCAAATTCGAAATCAATGGAAATCAAAACATTTCTCGGTCACTGCTTATAGGTAAAATTTAATGCCTATTGTTACCAAGGAATCAATTGATTTTAGAGTGCTACTTTTGCTAATTAACTACTCGAAACGTCAAAAAAACAAAACAAAACAAAAACAAAACGTCAACTGACACGCGGTAAAGATGCCATGGCACGCTTATCTCTAGCTTGAGGAAACATAATTTTTTTTTTCTTTTATTTGGAACACTAAGATTTTTCTCCTAGAAAAAAATGGAACAGGAACTGCGTTTTCTGTCAGGCAAGGATTCACAAACGACTTAAGAGCAGACTTCTATAGTGAGATTGTTGACGTTGTTTTCTTTTCATGTAAACTTGGTTAAAAATGTCTTTTAAGCTGTCACTTCGCTCCGATGAATGGCCTGCAAATCTTAAACCATTGATACAAAACGAAATCTCGAAATAGGAGCTAATAGATTTCATCTTTTCATTTCGTAAATGCAATCGAAGAGCAGCGACAGTTGTATGAATATAGGCTTTAGCAACTTAAAAAATAACTAAACTAGATCTCTGATTGCACTTAATCCTCTCAATGCCAGAAATAAGAACACGTTTTTTCAGAAAATTTCTGACATGCTATTAGGCCTGAAAATTTTAGAACCGTGAGGTTATTGAAGGATGGTAAAACTATTAGTATCGTCTTGATACAATTTCTAATAAATATTTTTTTATGGAACAATTAATTCAAAGAATAAAGGAAGAATTTTGATTGCCCTGCCACGCAAACTATGTAAAACTTAATCTTTTGGTCAGCATATGAGTAAACGTTATTAGATTGCAATTAAGTGAAAGCTGGCAGCCCCCGCCTTCTCCTCAGGCTGCCCCCCAACAGCCCTCCTACAGCCCCCTAACCCT